TTTGGGATATTCGAAAACAACATTGATTTTACTGAATGTGTCAAAGCTGTAAATGCTAAAGTTACACCGTTGCGCTAAGATTTATTGCGATTGTTGTTGGAAATTTGAAGATGCAAACGAATGAAATCAGAGGAATCAATGAAAGAACACCATGTTTTACAAACACACCTGAATCTCATTAGGGGCTAAGATCTCCCTCCACAATTCCGTCGGTAAATCAACCAATCTGGCGATGGAAGTTGTCGCCGGCAGCCTGGCTAAGATCTCCCTCCAAAAATCCGTCGGTAAATCAAGCAATCTGGCGTTGGAAGTTGTCTTGTCGCTTCTGCTTGAGTTTGATTTTTCCATTGTTGACTCGAATTTGGTTAATTGTTATAGCGATTGAGGAATGGAGGAGTACATATTGGTCGGTCATCGGTCGGTCGGTCACAGTTAACAGTATATGTAATTTAGGATTGTAGTGAGTTGCAATAAAATTGACAAGTTGATTCATTCTTTGCATGCATTTTGCGACAATTGGTTTGGAGATCGACTCCAATAGCCCACATTATTTCCCTTTTTTTTCTTTTTTTTTTTTTTTTTTTTTTTTTTTGTGACCAAATTATTTTTTATTATTTTGTTATAACATTTATTATTTAAAATGCTAATCAGTCAGTGGCCTTTCATTCCTCCTCTTTTTTTTTTTTTTCCTTTTTTTTGGGTGGATAAAAGCTATAAATATCTATATCATACGAAGTATTTCTTATTACCTTTCCTTCTTTTTATTTTTTTTATTCTTTGTTGTAATCTAAAGCTAAGTTTGTTTATGTATCAGGTTTAGAGAACTGGCCCAGTCTATATTAAAGTCCTAGATCCGTCTTTGGTCACAGTGATACATGTCAATAGTGACAAGTAAAAAAAAAATGGGACACTTAAATAAAAACGGAGGGAGTATACATTAACATAAATGCATTGTCGACATATAATCCGTACTTACTACATAATAGTGTTACACACTTGCACTGGGGACTTAAAATAAGAATCTAATTAATCTCAAATTCTCACAAGTGAGCTAAGGCATGCACCACTATCACACCATAATTGAGTGGCAGTAGCAAAACAAATTAAAATGGAGCATTTAGCTTCCCCGGCTTGCAACTTCTGACAGCTCTACCAGTAGCCGAGTATGTATCTCTCTAACGATCAGCTGTCACAAAGAAAATCAGAGCAAATCATATAACTATACCGAAAATTTTAAACAAACGAAACCAATAAATGAAGCATATAGCCTATTTGTGCCTAAAAATCTCAAGAATTGCTTAGTTTTACCAAACTATACGAGAGCTTAAGTTGAAAAATCAAAAATCACAAGAGAAGCAAAACTTGAGGCAGAGTTTGCTTGTAAAGGATAGAAAGGTATATATAATTAAACTATAAAAGAGTTTTAAAAAGATGTAGCAAATTTGAATTCATATCACAGGTTTAAAGTCACTAATATAAGTTGTGTAATATAATGCATGTAACATATTGTGTAATTTACGGATTTTATATTAGAATATGCAAGTGTGAAAAATCCCATGATCGATTAAGAGCAAGTCATTGATATTACCTTTGTGGATCTGGATTCATAGGAAAGATGTGAAAGTGTTCTCTCCAAAACCTTTGTGCAACGCCAAGCTTTTTACATAAATCGCGAAAGAATTATAAATCTCTAAAGAATTTCGACCCCTACTTTGAGTTCTTATACGGTAGCTTGCAATCTGATAAACCATCAAAATATGAGAGGTCAGGAACAAAAATGTGTTACTCTATTGAACATAGACAATCTTTAAAATCTCACGTTTAAACAAGTAGGAAACGTCTACATTCGGATCTCCCAAAAACCATAGCCTCCATGGATCCTCTCCACCATCCTTTTCCAAAACCCATATGCACCTTTTTTTAGAGGACATACTGAAAACTGCTAAGGACTCACCATGTACTAAAATGAACATAACAATGCTTTCTTTCACAGCATCAGGCAGTTCCCTACTAACTTTTAGTTTTCTGTTGAAATCACTATTAATCCAATATATAACCCCTTCACAACAAACAAATTTTCCTTCAAATAATCCTATAAACCCCCTTAAATGCCTATTATTGGACTTACTCGTCGTCCAATTAGGTACAACTCTCCAAAGGTGATCAGCGAGTGAATATACAGCAATTGGGTCATCACAACTTTTGAGTATATTAAACGCAAGCACCTTCTAATCATTAATAGAAGGGCAAAATACTAGAAAAAAAGTTACGTTCATATTTTCGACTTCGAAATAAGGACAATAGGGAAGAAGTAATGACTTTTGGAAATGATAACGCAATCGGAAGATTCGCAAAGCTATTACGATCCACACTCGTGAGGGAATAAACGACGCCTCGAAGGAGTACTCACGCTCGACCGGGCGACTCTTGCCCAACCGAGCGAAGTTGGCTACAGGAAAGGAGGGCTCTCGGTCCCGGGAGGGCAATGATTTGCCCGGCTGGGCGGCAAGACCTAAGTTTGACGAGCCCGAGCAAGCGGCTCTTGCCCGGTTGCTTGCCTGAGGTGAGAATTCGAGATCGCTCGACCGGGCGCGTTTGGGAGAGTTTCTCTCACGCCCGGTCAGGCGGCCGGTAGCCCGACCGGGCCCGCCTGTTTCTTGGGTCAACTTCGTTTATTTGTTTCCCTTTTTTGGTGTGGAGGTCGTTGTGTAAAACTTGGGGGGCGTGCGTCATTGGAGAATCTGTACCGGTGGTGGCGTATTTCGCTTTTGAGGCAGTGGGTTCCAAACCACGGCAAAACAAAAGGAGGTCGCATCTAAGAATGACCTCCTAATACGTGGGTTCCAGAATCTAACCTCCTTACAATTTCTCAACAGAATCAACCCATTATAGCTCCCAGAAATTATGTACAAATCACGCAATTGAACACGATTTGCAATATTAATAAATGTGTCGCCACGAAAAACTATAACGTCATTAAATGTACATCCCTTGTTTGCAATATTTTTATTTGTTATCAGATGATAAATTTTTGCAGTATTTAGAATTTCATTAGGGTTTTCGACGGTAGCCTTACCAAGATCTCCATCAACAATTCCTCTGACAAATAGCTGTCCTCCTGCCCGAGAATTTCTTCTCTAGGTTACTCATTTTGGAGACTAAAATTAAACACTATGATTGATGCAGATTTCCAAGCAATATCAAATTGTAACTAAGATGTGAAGTTATCAATTCCTCACCAAGGTTTAATAACAATTAAATCTCTGCAAAACAATGAAAATCTCTACAAGTCAAACTCAATATGCCAACCGATTTTATTTGGTGACAGACAAAGGTATTTATAATACAACTTCCATAGCCTTGCTAACCAAGTTTCTAAGCAAATCAATATATATAATCAATCTAAACCTATCCTAATAATAAACTAAAAATAAGATAGGAAAATATATATATTCACTAAATAATATCTTACCATAAATAATAATCCTACTGACTACATATAAAAAATCTTCTAATAATATCAATATGGAAAATATAGTATTTCCGATGATTATATTTTATATTTCTAACACAAGTACACTCTTGAAAATTTTATGGTGGTCGTTTGAAATATAACTATCATATAATATGAAGTTCAAAATTGATATATTTTTCTCCAAGTAATTAAATATTACTTTATTTTTGTATTAAATTTGTATAATCAACATTTTTTTATTTATCAAATTTTAAGTTTCATTTATGTAATTTTAATTATAATTTTAAAGTTTCTCAAAAATATTTAATTTATGTTCAATTAAAATTTTCAAAAATTATATATGCATTGTAGATATTTGAAGGCTAATTGCGTCCATATCATATGTGAAAATTTGAACCGATCACATTGTTTAACATTAAAATAATATGATGATAGTCATATTTCAAACTAGTGTATTAACAAGTATGTCAAGTTTGACCGTGTCAATTATTCTAGGACATAGAGTATATTAAGAGCAAACATCGGTCAAAGTGATACATATAATGGTGACAAAGTAAAAAATAGGGCACTTGAATAAAAACGGAAGGAGTAAACATTAATACAAATGCATTGTCGACATATATTTCGTACTAACTACTTAACAGTGTTGGCGTGTTGCACTTGGGACCAAAATGATTCAGGCCATACATCCACTAAAATATGAATCTAATTAATCTCTAAGCTAAGGCATGCACCACTATATTACACCATAATTGAGTGGCAGTAGCAAAACACAACTATAACGGAGCACTTAGCTTCCCCTGCTTACTACTTCAAACAGCGCTACTAGTAGCCGAGTATGCATCTCTCTAAAAGATCAGCTGTCACAAACAAGAATGAAATCGGAGCAAATCATAAATGTACCAAAAATTTAAAATAAACGAAACCATAAAGAGAACCATATAGTCTATTTGTGCCTCAAAAATCACAAGAAAACCCTGTTTTACTTTTACCAAACTACATCTGAGTTTAAGTTGAAAAATCAAAAATCAACAGAGAAGCAAAACTTGAGAGTTGAGGCAGAGTTGCTTGTAAAGGAAAGAAAGGTATATATCAAACTATAAAAGAGTAAAAAAATTATATAGCAATTTTAGGGACACATACTGTCCAAATTTCAATGAAGGATGCCATAGAGAGAGTTTAATTACATTTAATTTTACTCTAATCTTTTTTATATATATTGAAAATTAGGATATTAATTAGCCTTATGAGCATTTAGTTAACAGTTTTAATTTTCTACTGCAGCTAATAAGCCTGTTGTAACAGCAACACTACCCTCCCCTAGACCACCACTTCATCATATTCAAGTCACTTTGGCTGCGGCTCAGTCATAGTCTCCTTGATGGTTTCCAAAGAATACAGATCATACATAAACAAATAAAGACTCGAAGTTTAATTGATCATCACGTACGTACTATGCCCCATCATCTAAGCCAATAGGACAATTAAATTTGTTTCGTGTTTTAAAGGTAAAGGGAATGCAACTTCACTGATGGTTCTTTGCCTGAACAATGCATTTCAAAGCATGACATTATCAAATAACAACGCAATTAATGTGACATACTGTGTAATTTACAGATTTTAGAAAATGTAAGTGGGAAAATCCCATAACTAAGAGCAAGTCATTGATTTTACCTTTGCGGATCTTCCATAATCAGCCATTATTCACCCTTCATCAAATTCATAGGAAAGATGTGAAAGTGTTCACTCCAAAACCTTTGTGTAGTACCAAGCTTTCTACATAAGTCGCTAAAGAACTATGACAACCCATAGATTTTTTCCCCAGAGTTCGTGCATGGTTGCTTGCAATGCTATAAGACATTATAGCGTGAGAGGTCTTAAACAAAAATGTATTGCTGTGTTGAACATAGACCGTCTTTACAGGTGAACGTTCAAACAACTTGGAAACGCGTGAATTCGGATCTCCTGAAAACCATAGCCTCCATGGATCCTCTCCACCATCCTTTTCCAAAACCCATATGCAGCTTCTTTCAGAGGACATACTGAAAACTGCTAAGGACTCACCATGTTTAAAAATGAACCTAACAATGCTGTCTTTCACAGCATCAGGCAGTTGCATAACACTAAATTCTTCGACATCAAAATTAAACAAGTAGAGTTTCTGACTAACACCGGCTTTGTAGTAGAAATTACTTTCAATCCAATATACAACCCCTCTACAACTAACAAACTGATCATCTTCACAATATTCAAACCCCGACGATAAACCCCAATCGGAATTATTAGCCTGATTCGGTTTAACTCTCCAAAGGCGATCAACGAGTGAATATACAGCAATTGGGACCTCATGAAATCTGAATTTATCAATGGCAAGCACCTTATAATCATTACTAGAAGGGGAAAATCCTAGAGCATAAGTAATGTAAGTAAAAATAGGATCTGTAATAATAGGACAAGAGGGAAGAATCAATGACCTCCTAATACAAGGTTCCACAAAACCTCATTGCTACTGCTACGATTTCTCAACAAAATCAACCCATTACAGCTTCCAGAAATCGAGTATGAATCAGGCAATCTCACATTGTTCGCAATTTTAATATTCATCAATGTGTCAATATGACGAACTGTAAATATACATCCCTTGTGTACAACGTTTCCATTTGCTATGAAATAATGAGTTTTTGAAGTGTTGTTGTAAAGTTTGATGAAATCCGAGGAATCGATTAAAGAACACCAGGTTTTACATACAGACCTGAATTTCAAGAGGGTTTTCGACGGTAGCCTTGCCAAGATCTCCGTCAACAATTCCTCCGGCAAATAGCTGTCCTCCGGCAATGATAATTTCTTCTCTCTGCTACTCATCATGGACACTAATAAAAACACTATAATGATAACGAGTTGGTACTTTGGGTTTAGAATTTCTTCTCCCTGCTACTCAATTAGAATTAAACGTTTTTCTTTTATAAAGTAGTACGAAAACAAATTTATCAAATTATGAGATTAAATATATGTGAATGTTAATCTCGATGCAAGCTGCTACTAAGATAACATAAGATAGGAAATAATCTTTGTAAAAGATATACTAATCATAATCCAAAAGATACGATATATTTACTATATAATATCTTAACATAAATAAAATATAAAATCTCTCAATATCAATATGGAAGTACATTACACATATAATTTTACGATGATTAATAAAACAAAATTAAAACAAACAAAAAAAACAAAAAAAAAATTACGATGATTATATCTTAATATCTCTAACACAACTACACAAGTACTCCACTAGAGTCAATTAAGGGTCACTGAGCTAATCAATTTTTGACCAAAAATAAATGCAAAAACTTTTGGGTGTACAATACTTGTATTTCTTTTATTTTGAAATTATTATTTTAATTAAATTCGTTTGTTTAATCTACAACCTTCGTTGCATAGGATTTCATAAATGACATAGATACACTTTGACTTTAATAGTTGTATTTTTCCTAATGTATTATTTCCTCTATTCTTTATTGTTTATCTCATTTGACTTTTCAATGTCACCAAAACTTATACAAATTTAATAGAGAATAAGACGAATACAATGCAGCCTCCTACTGTAAATTTGTAATCCTAAATTATGCATGGCCTCCATGTCGTACTGTTCGTAGTACTTTATTTAGTGCCTCTAGTGGGGATAATTGAACGTCCAACCTCAAGGTTAGAAGGCTCAATCCTTACCACTAGGTGGCCTCCATGTAGTATATATTGCGCCGGTTGGTAGCGTAGTATCCATCAAGATGATGCCCTTATCTTTCAACTCGCTCCTAATCCGGTCACTTTTGGTGTATTCTTTCTTTGCCTTCAATGCTTCTCTTTCTTCAATCAAACTCGATACTTCATCTTCCGTCATCTCAGGTCTAATCAAAGCCTTCTCCTTGAACTCCTGTAAGACCTCGTCATAAGGCCGAGCAGAAAGCAGTCCTAAGACCTCTAAAACCTTCCTCATTGTCTCCTCCCATTCGAAAAGTGATTCCTCCTTTATTAGCTCCTTCAATTCCTTGTTCATCGAACTCAATGCCTTATCAAGACTTCCTTTCAGTATTTTCGCGGTTTTCAAGTCATCATTCATATACCTATCGAAATCATCCTTTAGTACTAGCCGCATCAGAGAGTTTCGAGCTCCCCTGGTTCGATAACAGAGCACTTCTACTTGTAACGTTTGATAAACCTTGAAGATCGCGCTAGATGCAAGATTAATCTCACACTCGGAATAATTCATTGGTGAACCGTAGTTGTTGCTTAACAAGAAGTATCTCAAAGCCAAGGGATGATATCTTTTGGTAACCTCTCGAATAGTAAAGAAATTCCTGGTTGACTTAGACATCTTGTCTTTGTTAATAGTCACAAACTCATTATGCATCCAGCAACCGACATTAGCCTTGCCACACGCGGCAAGGCTAATCGCGAGCTCATTCTCGTGAGGAAATATCAAGTCCATCCCACCACCATGAATATCAAAAGAGGTAGTCAAGTAATGAGCACTCATCACGCTACATTCTATGTTCCATCCAGGCCTTCCTCGACCCCAAGGACTCATCAGGTTTCACAGCCTTCCACAATGCAAATCAGCAGGATTTCGCTTTCTACCATCCACAGCAACACATTCGCCTGCTCGATTATCCTCAACTTTCCTTCTAGCCACCAAGTTCCCATAGTTAAGCTCCTTGCCTGCTCAAAACGTATCAAAATAAACATCTCCATCATCAACACAATAGGCATAACCATTCTCGATAAGCTTGATTATCATATCTATAACCTGATCAACATGCTCGGAAACACGAGGTTGATGAGTCAGCCTCAAGCATTGAAGATCATCCATATTCCTCAAAAACTCTTCAGCATAATAATTGCTTAAACTCAAAGGATGACTTAGAGGATCATCCGGGTTTTTCGCCTTGTGCTCGTTTGATTTGTGAATAATCTTGTCATCAATATCAGTGAAATTCCTCACATATGTAACTTGATAACCTACATCCATCAAGTATCGATAAAGAACGTCGAAAGTAACAAACACACGAACATGGCCGATATGGGAGTAATCGTAAGGAGTAACACCGCAAACGTTCATGCCAACCTTGTTGGGGATTTTGGGTATGAATTCCTTCTTTCGTAGTCGTAACGTTGGCGGTGTCGAGATATCATCCGCCATTGTTGAGTTAGTGTTTTTAGTTGGGATGTTTTTAGAGAGATCAGTGCAATGGAGGAAAGACAGAGTTTAATGGTTGTATTTGTACTAGTTTGGTGACATTAAAAGGAAATAAAAAATTCCATTCAAAAAAAAAAGGAAATAAAAATTTGCCAAAATAAAAGAGAGATCAAATTATGTAAGAAAGGATAATTTTGGCTCTAACAAATATTGAGAAAGAAGATTTAGAGGATATGGAGAATATTTTGAAAAGTTTCCAAAAAATAACTTAATAACTTAATTACTTTAACTTGCGTTACCAAATCGTCTTCAAATATTTTTTTTAAAAAAAGATGATTTTTTGTTTATGTAAATAATGTGCAAGTTTTTGGAGGTATGAAGGCAAGTAAATCAATTGTTTGTAATATTATCGGAATAAATACCCAAAATAAACAGAATAAAAAATTCCCTAGCATAATAAAATAAAATATTAATTCCTTAGTATAAAATAATGGTTTTTCAAACCATAACATAATTTCTTATTTACTTATTTAGCACCCCGGAGGAACTTAGGTTCTATAAAAAAATATTGGAAACCATTTTCTTTAGCAAATCGCGATGGAAATTTATAGTAATTAATTACAGTTACAATAATCTCCAAAGCATAGTATAATTAATAGTGAGGACGATTGTAATTACCCAGTATACTTCTAGAGCAAAACACAGGAGCACATAATATTGTATAAACCTGAATTCAAAAACGTGGCGGCTTATAATGTTACAGTCTAACAATTACAAAGCATATTGACTAGTCGAGACATGCTTAAACATAAAAATTGGCCTGCGCATCTGTAACTAATAACTGTGACTATCTATCTCTTTTTTTTTCAAGGTCCAACTTATATCAGTCCCTCCAAAAAATTAAATAAAAAAATCTCCATATAAAGAATACAATTCCGAAGAAAATGAGGACCTCATAATATTCAAAATGGCGGGAATTCAGGCAGGAGTGCAACAAGAACTGCCTCGTGATGAGTTCATACTTTTTGAGTTTTTTCCATTGAGAATACATGCACTCAACCTGTGCTGCAGCTTTCCCTTCGATGCCTGTTATCACGAGCTTCATCTGGTAACTAAAAGAGTCTATTTCTTCGGCTTAGGTTTTAAGATCATCAGATATTGCAGAAGGTATACAATGTGTTGTAAGAATATCTACAGTAGCAGCTTTTGCAGTTTCTGTTCGAAGAACAACTATCTGCACACACAGAAAAAGATGGCAAATGAGCCACTTTGAACGTTGTTGTCATGAAGAGGTGGAATGTAAACAGCTGCATGTGCTACATAAATAATAAGCCCGAGAGTACCCAGATTGGTGCTCTCGTACCAGTGCGGCAGTGCGTGCACCCTTTTAGGTACACCCACCTAGAAGACAGATTAAAGAGAAGCAGAGAAAGAGACCTGATCATAATCCAAATCGAACTTCATAAATTCTTCCTTGCAGGACTCTGCCATACTTGCCAAGCTCTTCAAGTTTCTCACAGGATTACCATTAAAGGCAAGGACCTGACAGCAAACAGAAATAGCAACAGCAACAAAAATAAATCACATGAACAGCTATAGACCACTCTAGAAACAAAAAGCTCCAACAGAACAGCTAAAATATATACCTGAGTGTTTACGATTTCTTCATATCCAATATTAATGTCAGCCACAAGAACCTAATAACAAAGAAAAAAATAAGCAAGGTCTATACACATGCTTCAACTTTGATCTCAAAGTCATTTATACATGAGAGGACTGAAAATACCTGAGATACAACAACAAGCTCTTCGTCTTTTGATTGTGGCATTGAATGCAAAAGCTTGTCCAGAAGCTTGACTGGGGCCTCATACTCGTACTCTTTTCCATACTGTCATAATATCAAAGAAAAATTAAATACAGAAAACAGCTCAGTTTAAAGCAATTCAATAATATATATAGGGAGGGGTGGACTAAAAAATGCAGCAAATTTATCGTAGTCTAGTGTCATTGCAACACCCCAGGCTTCACATATATCAAACATCATATGTAAGGAGTTCCGCAAATCGAATGAGATGGACCAACAAAATCCAGAACATTAAAATATGAATAGCAGTCATAGGACAAAAGTACTGAAATGGGCAAGGATAAAATAAGCATAAATATTAGCAAAGATGTTACTTCATATATAAGTAGCTCAAGGAGCACAATAAAATGAGCCCCAATAAAGCAACAGATGAGAGATTACAAACTTTACAAGCAGTCATATAGAACATTTTCATTGAACAATCAAATCAAGCAATGACAAATTCAGGCCCTTCAAATTTAATCATATGGCTGAGATTTTTTCACATGTAAAATGAGAAGCAACCTCTAAACTTGAACCTGCCTCGTATGTTTATGAGAAATAAACCTCTAAAATTACAGAGAGATCTTGAAAAGCAATGGGGTAGAGGGATAAAACTTTGAATTAAATTTCATCGCTATAAAAGCTTTAGAAATCAGTAAACACCATTTACCATTCTTTTACTACCTCCGTTACATATTTTTTGCAACTTTGGGGTATTATTTGTGAAATATAAAATATTCCAAAGTTGCAAAAAATATGAAATGGAGGTAGTAGATAAGATTTAATAATGGAGGAAAGAAAAGATAAAATGCCCAGAACCAG